CGATGATGCCGGTAGTACTCTGATGTAATGTCAGATCTCGTGCAATCTCATTGCCTTCGAACAGTATCATGACGGCTCTGAACAGCGTCAGGATGGCTACACTACTTCCGCAACCCTGCTGCGGAAGCCTTTTTTGGCGCCGCAGTTCTCTGCTCAACTCTGAGAAACGCAGCAACTCTTGTGGAAACGGGCTGCGAGAGCAAGGCTTTAAACAGGCGAAGATCTGAGGTTGGTTCAATGCACACCATCGCTCAGGGAGCTCATTCTGCCGTCCACTGCGTCACTTAGCGAGCCTATGCTGCCTAGGGCAGAACGTGAGGCCACTGGCAAATGTGACTTAAAATGGTAGTTGGAAGGTGGAGCACCCGAATACACTCCGCAGAAAGATCGCACTTTTTCACAAAAGCTCAGTATTGTAGCTTTATCTGCATGCCTGCCCGAACCATCGCAAATTCTCTGGGAGTCCTTTTCAAGCTTCCGGAGCTGCAACTCTGCTTGGTGCAACATCAGCCAAAAGTCAGAGCATTCCTCCAAAATCTGGCTCATGTAATCCAAGTGCAAAAGTGTCAATTCCAGATACTTCTGGGACTCTTCGTTCGCTTCCTGAAGCGCGAGAGCCAGGCTGGGTGGAATTTGGCACTCCATGCTCCCGTCCTCTTTCTCCGATGGTTCCGGAAGAAGACTCATCACCGTCTGATCCACTGTGACCTGTGTGCAGTGCCCCATGTACTGTACCTGCGTGAGCAAGTCAATATAGTCAGAGCGGATTCCCTGTGTCTCCTTCCGTAAAGTACCAAGGTTGCCCCTAAGCCCAACTATGCAATCGGACAGCTCAGTACTTCCGTGACCCCGTGCCGCCCACAGCAGTGTCGGAAGCTTCTCTAAAGCGTTACAAGCTGTAGCTGCCAGTTTGCACGCGACCGTCTGTGCAGAACAGACAAGCGACACGAATTGATTTTCAGTCTGTACGGCACAACTTAGCAAGTCCTGGTCTGCCTCAGAAAGACAACTTAGCACAATTTGGAGGTGACCGGTGATAGCGTCGCTGAAAACTTTCAAGTCCTTGGTGCTATCCTTCGGCTGGTAGAACTGGATCCCGCCCTGGACGGAACTGTTGGAGCCCGAGGAAACTTGCGATCCACTGACCTGTCGATTGAACGACAAGCCAGTACTACTCACGACCGCTGAACCTTGAAATTGGGATCCCCAGTCTCGAGGGCTCGTGCCCCCAGAGGCATTCATCTTCGCACCTAGACAAGATCTGAGCCAAGATGGCTCCAAAGAACCCACAACATTTCCATGCATAGTGCTCTGCGGGTTCCATGCATAGTGCTCTGCGGCTTTGCCAGCAAGTTTACATGCATGCAACCGTACAAACTTCCAAATCCAAGCGCAACGACAGATCGTCTATTGGTCAGGACCCCTAAAACTTACAGCCAGCATCTCGCAAATTAACGGATGGACCTCGGGGGCGCCCTGCAGCGGCTGCTTCGAGGCCCTGCTCCACAAAACCGAAGTTCAATCCATCCATTAGGGATCCATAGCGGTTCCTTAAAAAGGCTCTATAAGCATTCGATGAAAGTGCGGTAAAAGGATCCAGCGAGAAAGCAGCAAGCGCAGAAAGAGAAACTTAAAGACACATGGCACATGCATGGGTGAATTTGCTGCCGCAGGCTGTGGTTTGAGGAGCAGAGAAGGAAGGCGGTGTGGGAGGAAAGCAAACGACAACCACACATTCAGTTTAAGTAAATTGGCAGTGTCTTCTCTCTGTACACACCAAGACGGGCGTTTAAGTACGTTGAAACAATCAATCAATCAATGTGCTTAAGAACATTGCAGCAAGTAGCCCAAACGGAGGTTTAAGTAAATTGAACCAGCACTGAAATTGGGGCAGGGGGCAAGAAAGTTCAAAAGCCAAGAAGCAGGGCCCCCAGAAACACTAGAATGAACAACACCAAAACCAAAATGAAACCTCAGGTACCAAGAAGCTAGCCCCCCCTTAAACAGAGAGGCACGCCTAAACCCTAAACCCTACACCCTAAAGCCTAAACCCTACACCCTAAATCCGGGCCTGAGTGCCACGTCGCCAAGGCCCTGCTTGAACTTCGCCCGGGGGATCTCGGAAAGCGCTGGGCCATGGGATCCTGAACTCGATCTCTCTTAGGTCCTAGGAGCCCGAAACCCTGAACCTTTTAACCTTTCAGGTTTAGGGCTTTAGGGCTTTAGGGCTTAGGGGTTTGGGGTTTAGGGTTTGGGGGCGTGGGGGTTTGTGGGGCTTAGGGGTTTAGTAATCTGAGGGCTTTTTCCCTCCTACTTCGCAAGGACGAGCCCGCATTGCAGGGTGCGTTCGCATCTGTGACAGATGTTCAGTAGAACAAACTCAGCACACCATCTAGGTTGCCCAGCTCTATCTACCATTATCTACGAATTAAGTCAAGGTCATTGCCTTTAGCAGTAGTCTAAGCTTCACCCACAGTGCCAGCAGGCTTCACGTGCCCACCACTAATGCGATGCTTTGACTTTTTCATTACCTGTTTTCTGCAGCCAACGATTGTTTCGGGTTTATGTCAACAGTAAATCCCCGAGGGTTGGTTCCTCAGGTTAAGAGTCTGGGTCTGCGAGGTGGACGCGATAGAACTGGAAGCCTAAAATTAAATTTGCGATAAACTTCCTGAAGGCCCCTTTCATGGTATAACCAACACGCAAACCAAATTCCAACTCTTGATGCTCCCATATTGCTGCATCTTAAGATTGACAAACCGCAACGTGCTAGGCAATGCTGCCGATCTGCTGTCACTAGGTTGATGCTGTGTTGGCTTCGCAAACTCAGACGAGCAGAATAGTGGGCAACATTGGATCTGAAGCTTGATCGTCCTACAGTGGTAGTGGACAGGTAGACAGATAGATAGATAGATAGATACATAGATAAACAGACAAAATGAGATATAATATATAATATTATATATTATATATACTATATATATATATAGATATATATATTATATATATTCTATTATATATATATATTCTATGATATATATATATACATATATATATATGTATATGTAATGTGCACACATGCATATATATATATATTATATGTCTGTATATATATGTAAGTGCATGTTACTTTGCTAGATAGATAGCAATCACATTGACACATAGATAGGCAGATAGGCCGATAGATAGAAAGATAGATCAATAGATCGATAGGTAGATAGACAGATAGGTCGACAGGTAGGTGGACAAATAGATGCATATATGCGTTCATAGATACATAGATACATGCATGCATCACAGTCACTCACGCACACATACACATAGGGGGAGCTTTGTAAAGGGGCTGCACATGCCTCGCCCGCTAATGCTCTGCGAGGGGCTCCTTGTCCTGCGGTCTTGCTTTCTGGCATGCTTAAATACCTACTTTCTTACTAACCTGCTTGCATACTTACTTACCTACTGATTCACGTACTCATGCGCCTATGGTCTGCTTTACAACCTGTGAACTGGTTTATTGTTCAAGTCATACCTTCATTCTTCTGGAGCTTGACTCATTGCTGCTGCTACTGAAACAAGATTACCGTCACTGTTGTTTTCTGTGATTACCAGCCTCCTATGACTGATACTACCAGCACGTGTGAAATCTGACAGCATGAAGTTGAACCATGGTATATCAGATTCATCAGAACAGGTCTGCCTCAAGTGTAGAAGCGACAATAAGGAACTGTTCCTGAGAACTAAATCACGGCTTCCGGCCCATTATGCAATTAAGTACCCATAGACCCATCCCGGCCGATCTGTTACCGCTCTTCAGACGAGCTGCGTGCTTGAAGCGCCGCCAGCCGGGCGGCTGCAAGGCGGTACATCGCCAACACTTGAGAGGCCCGGCTCTATGCATCTACAGGCGATGTAGGGCGGTTTGGTGTAGAACCTCGGCAAAGTAGCTATCTTTGTTGCTGGTGAGAACCACCGCCTTTGCAATATGATTGCACGGTCGCATGCTTGGTATCTGCATTTGTTTTGCTGCTGTGGCGCTTCTCTGCATACACTACACACCCGTACGTGTGCGTATTTCTATACTGCATATGTACACACAGAAGTGCTGAAACCCTTGATCTACTCTCATCAACTGCACAGATGCATCTTATAGGTGGCCCCCTTCCTCTGTAAGACATTGTAAAACTTGTCCTCGGGCTCAAGTGTACAGTGCTGGCCAGTCCTCGCCCCAGTTTAGAGTTTGGCGCAATAGTGACCATTAGGGGTTTAGGCTTATGCCTTGAGGGTTTTACGTTTCAGGTTTTTCCAGCCTGTGTGGATGATCACAGAAAGGTGCTGCGAAATACTTGGATGATTAATGGATCCACCGGCTCGCTCGGGCCGGACTGCCCCGATTAAAGCTGCAGAAGGCATGGGAAGAGGACTGGTTCGGCAAACGGACTTGTGATCACCTCCCCGAAACCTCTGCAACTTCGACGGCAATCGAGCAGGGCCATGTTTGGATTCAATCCTCTCTGGGCCTGACGAACCGCGAGCTCAGCATGGCAGTTTCTGTTATCGCTGCAGGATCCCGACTTTATGTTCTCGGCTTTCAGTGCGGCACCTGCAAAGAAGTCTTCTGGTATGGAAAGGTGTGCGAATGAGCACTCGCCACTGAAAACCAAGGCCATTGCCCAATCGCTTTGCTGATTAGGCTGCATCTAACCCTGACTGCATCAGCACCCCCGCACGAATGTAGACATCCCAGCTGTGAGCATTCATGTCAGCCTCTTATTCCCACCAACCTCGTCGTGCCTTCGGAGGTTGTGACATTCTGAGGCTGCGCTTTGCGCAGTCTCAAGAAGTGGGGATAAAGTGGGAGCAGCAGTGGATAACACTCCTCAGGGTGTTCTAGGACACGTCATGCAATCGAAATGCTGGTTCTCCAATGACAAGGGGTCACAGTGGCAGTGGCATAATATGTCGAGTTTGCATGCATCCGTCTCCACAGGCTCCTCTCGGAGCTAGGCTGGCACCGAGCTCCCCTCCTGGAAAACCCACTTCAAGAAAGAGTCAACATCCATTCGGCCGGAACTGCCAAGCATGCGGAATGCCAAGGCGACCATCTCTTCGTTCGACTCTTTTGGGCTGCCCAAAGAGTCCTTGCAAGAGCGGCTCAATGTCATGGATGGTGCAGATGTGCAGAGCATGGAATCTGAATTTTGCAGCCCTAAAGCTAACACCAATACCATCTCGCGCGCTCCTCTGACCTCACTCCGGTTCACCGCGGTCTTACAAGGTTTACATGGTGCTTCTATCACATGAAGGATCGTAACTGTCACGTAATTGCTGCTCAGACCTCCTGCAGTTGCGGGCATGTGTAGACGGAATCCATGACACCGGGGGAGAGGGGGTCCACAAAATGCAACTCGAAAATGCTCGGCTCCGGCTTGTGTGGATCTGGGCCCTTCTTCAAAGTAATGCAGTCAGTTGTGTTGGTGGCCATGTCCCGTTCAACCAGTAACAAGAGACAGAAGCAGCAAGCGATTCGATTCAGCGAGTCTGCACAGATTCTACTTTTGTTTAACATGTCCGCTAGCTGTATTATGATATTTTGCACTATATCACTGCGTTATGCTATGATAGACCAAACTCTATCACCATGTTATGTTTTACTACATTGCATAATGTCGTGCCTATTTCTCTGTCCGACAAGAGTCCAGTACTGTTCCGAGGACCACCGGGGTCAGCTGCTGGTGACAGTGTGTTTTGAACAGCGCCTTCACCTGCTGAAGGGTGGTACCTCGGTAACTGGAGGCATGGGACCCTGGGACGGGCGGAGAATCTGTCTGAACTCTAGCGCATCAAGGTCTCAATCGTATTCTACACTGCTTCAAGTTGGAGTTCCCTTGGTCAGATCGGGGCAAGCTAAGCCAGCAGCAACGAAGCTAAATACCGGAAACTACACACTGCGGGAATCAAGCGCTTAGCACCCGAGGCCGTCGTGAAGCATGCGCTGGGTCTGAAGTATGATCATGTTGCTGCTCGTCCTCGCCAGGACAACCGTTGCATCGTGGAAGTCACCATCATGGCCTTCACCTTCAGTATCTGCTTCATGCTCTCCATCATCGGGAACTCGTGTCAACATTGTCCTTGCCTAGATCATGACGAACCACGTATCAGAAGTGGATCAGCAATACCTTCACGCCGTCATCGTTATCATATATCACTATCTTCATCAACATTGAAAACAACCGCCTTCAGCTGACAAAGGTTCGACCAAGCCCGCGCACTGAGCATTTCCACGCTCAAAGAGTCGAATCAGGCAAACCGAAGTGACTCTACAAACTACTACGGCAGATCTTGTACGCTTGAAGCCAAATAAATCGGGTGGGTACGGCTCTCCCAAGCCCTTTTTGAGAAGGGGGACTGCAATCAGCTAGAAAGCCCCGAGGCCTAGCTCCTTGCTCCCCAAGAGACGACTGGCAACCTCCACACGATCGCGCAAAGTGGCGGCACTTGGCCTCGCAGCGGCCTGTACTGTCAGCAAAACAGGGCGGGGGGGTTGGCTTTCCTTGTTCGCGACACGGCTCCCAAAATCCAGATAGCAAGGGTCCTAGTCCCATTGGGGGTCTCTGTTCAGGTCCTTCATTGCCTGAGATCCCATTGCCGATGTGTAGTCAGTGGCACATAAAGCAGACCAGAAGCAAAATGTAGCTAGAAGGGGTTTAGCAGGGTCTGGTGGACTTCTAGGCCCGGTGGGCTTAACTAGAAGGGTATAAGAGAGTCTGATGGGGGGGTGGTTTGGCTCCGGGGTAAGTTTTGGGGGTTTCAGGTTTAGGGGCCCTTTAAGGTTTCTAGAAGGATACCACATAGGGTGCTGAGGTTCGGGTTTAGGGTTCAGGGTTCCTTNNGGGGGGGGGGGGATGTGGGGTTCTGGGGGGCGCGGGTTGATTGGTGGGCTGGGATTTCAGAGGTGCCTTGGAAGTCAGACCTGGAGCCTCTTCTCTACTGAATTACGATGGACCATTCGCAGAAAGGGCAAACAACCCCGAAAAAAAACCACCGGGCCAAAACAATTAAGGAGAGTCACTCAATTAAAGCCCGTGCCACATTACTAGTATTTCTCCGAGCAGTAATTGTCTCTTCACTTCATCCGTCTTAAATTATGATCGCAAACTTGCTGTTGCTACTGATGACTGTTATGACTTGTTCTTCATGCGCAGGTGCTTTATCGGCTGCTTTCCTCTTCCTTACATTGGCCCGAAACAAAGCCCGTGGTAGCACTAGAAGCCAAGAACGCTGACACAAAATGTATCCTCAAAGCCCTCGCCCCGAATTAAGTTCGCAACTTCAACCTGAACCCGAGTCCAACGTATACCGGAAGCTCTAAACCCTACCCTGCAAATATCCATGACTGGAAGCCAAAAACACCTATGACCAATGCCTTACGAGCCCTACTTGGAGCGAAAAGACGCTAACTACATGAGTGAACATATCAAGTAATCAGAAGCTGCAGGGGCTTCGGTCTACAGGTGAATCCCTAACAACCTCTCCCCTTGAACCCTGCCGACCCGAAGCCTGGTGCGCAAGAGCATCGGCCAGTACAGGGTGGAGTCCCCAAGGTAGTCCCTGGCGCTACCATACTTTTCGATGGTACTGCTGGGCCTAGGGTTTAGGATTTTAGGATTTATAACAGAACAGCCGCATGAGACCACACCCGGGCAGGCTTGAGGTCTGAGGGATGCCGGATATTCACTGAAGCCGCAACTTCACAACCTACACTCGTATCATGATTTTCACGTGTCATATCCTAATAGCACATGTGTTGTTTCTGGAGACTATGGTAACTCCCAGTATGCTGCTTCAGGCTGTCACAAGCCCTGGAAGCCCGTGGTGATCCTGCTGCTGTTGCTCGGCAGCCGCTTTCGTTCATGCCATTGCTGAGGTTCTTGCTGGCCACTATGCTGCTTCTTGCTGCTGCTGATTCTGCTGCTGTTTCTGTTGCGATTGCTGTTGTGTTGCTGCTGTTGGCGGTGAGAGCGGCCGTAATGGTCGAGCTGCAACTTCTGCTGGTGCTGCTGTTGCTGTTGCTGCTGCTGTTGCTGTTGCTGCTATTCTTCTAGTTCTTGTTATTCTTGTTCTTGTTGCTGTTGCCATTGAAGTGCTTGTCATTGCCACGGCAGTGATGATGATGATGTGGTGGTGGTGGTGGTGGTGGTGGTGGTGGGGGTGGTGGGGGTGGGGGTGGCGGTGGCGGTGGCGGTGGTGCTGCTGCTGCTGGTGCTGGTGCTGGCGCTGGTGTTGGCGCTGGTGCTGCTGGTGCTGGTGCTGGTGCTGGTGCTGGTGCTGGTGCTAGTATTGGTGCTGGCGCTGGTGCTGCTGGCGCTGCTGCTGGTGCTGGTGCTGGTGCTGGTGTGGTTGTTGCTGTCGTTGTTGTCGTCGTCGTGGTGCTGGTGGTGGTTCTTGCTGTTGCTGCTGCGCATACATACATATATATATATATCTGTGTGTGTGTATGTGTGTGTGTGTGTCTGTATGTGTGTGTGTACATATATACATACCCAAAACCTTCAAATCCGATCTGGAGATCTGCGCCTTGCCCAAGGAGCCCACGTGGGAGGACGAGGAGGAGGCAGAGCATGCGGCCTGCTTTGCACCTGACAGGGTCCGCGGAAACTAACAGATTTAATTTACAAAACCAATATCACCGCAGTATTACGTCATACCAGGACGAAAGTTAGTGATGCTGCACTTCTAGTCTCCGGCAGATTCCGTGAAATAGTGGTAGTTGGTTCTCTCAGTCACAACACTCAAACGAAGAGCAAATCGGCATCACAATTGTTCTCACAGTTTCACGTTTACGTCAACATTCATTCCGTTTCGCCTGAAGCTAAGTCGGAATTCAGTGTGAGCAACTGCATGCACGGCCCTTGGCGCACTCCTCATGGACTTTTCATTTAAATCCCTGCCTTCGACGAGGGTGATGAGTTCCTCCTGCATCACGGCACGGATCTTCTGCAAAAAACATCAAGGACCCCTGATTACGCGACTCCTGAACAAAGCAGTTGACGCTCCGGGTTGCTTGAGTTCTTCCCCACCAGCCGTACACAGGCTCCTCGCCCAAGTCGGCAGAGCCCCAAATGGCCAACAGGGTCATTCCCAGACTGAAAACATCTGCCGGAAAGCCTGCAAGGAGAAACCGTGCACGGAACTGTGAGATGACGACGGCAGACCGGAAGCACTGCACTGATTTGTGATCTCACAAGAAAATGACAGGCAGGCCTCCTGCTCAAAACAGCAAGTTGATAGCATCAAGTCATGTGATGGTAGTTGTGTGGCTAGTGGATGAAGATCCCAACGAAGATTCTGCAGTATATGCCCTAGACGGTTGTTGAGAAGACTGCCATCGGCTCAACGGAACTCCAAGATCCGCACCGTAGGCATCCCCGAGTTCGGGTGCCGAGTAGAGCGAGCCGATGGCCGAGTCGTCCAGAGGTGCCGCCCCAGGCGTCTGGCAGTGACAGTTTTACACAGGCGTTAGGGATTTCGGATCAACAACAATCGAATTCTTCGCCTACAAGTACCGACTCAACCTCTCGCCAAAAAAACCCTGTTGTACAAATTGGCATTGCTCGTTGAGATCCCTCATCCTGGGCTCCTAAAGACACAACCACCAGAAACAGCATCGCAGCATCAATCAGAACCAGACTCCGCCAGCAATTGACACAACCGCCGCCACCACCACCACGACCAGCAAAAGCATCTCCAAACCCATAAGCATGACCTGAACCCCTCCCTGCTTCTCAAGCCCCCTTCTGGAAGTACAAACGGAATCCCCCCCCCCCCAAAGCACCATTGCACAATCCTGAACCCTGAGCTCCCAAAGCACAAGCCTTCCCAAACGAATATTCGGCGGCTCTAACCCATCGCCTCCCATCCCCGTAGCTCCGGGGAGTCCATTTGCACGGCAAGTCCGAAGTCGCCAAGTCGTGCCGATGACGAATCGGAGCCTGCACTTGGCTCACAAAAAAAAACTTCAGTGCAGTCAGTTTTCGGCGCATTAGCGTTTCGGGTTGAAAGTTTAAGGTTTAGTGCATCAGAAGGCTTTCCGTATACTTTAGTACCTTCCCGAGGACCTACAGCCATCCTCCCACACTGGCCGTCCTTGAAGCAGCACTGCTTGCATTGTGCTACTTCAATGTACCGGGGTCTGGTATTCTTCGTTTGCTTTTGGAGATCTGCATCTAAGCTTCGAGCCGGCGCAGGTACAGTAAGTGTCATCCACATTGGCATTCATTTTAGGCGGATCACCGCTGGGTCATGACACGTGCTCATGTAGCTAGCTGGCATCATTTCTAACGCTGCCATCATTACCCGACATCGTTTAGTCTCAGTGTTCCTGATACGACAGTCTATAACTGTAGATGGTAACTTTTGTAACTATAGTTTAGCATGGTGTTGATGTGCCGAAATAACTAAGCCGCAAGCGTAATCGCATGCCCAAGTTGAAGCAGTACTCTTTAGACCGGTTCAGCCGGTGCCAACCAAGATATCCAGCTATCAGGGCTCATCTCCAACTGTTGTTGATGCTCGAAGCTTTGTATGCCTATGCTTCGGATGATGTAAACTAGGGCAGAATCTGTTGCATCAGGGGTCCGGTCTTGTAAGGTCACAGCTTCAGGGCTGCTGACATCGGCATCGGTTATCTAATGTCTAGCGTTGGCATGGGACACCATTGGCAATGCAGGAAACGCTCCACCCACTGGAGCAAGCTTGGACATGCGCGGCTAAACCATGAAAGTACTGACTTGTGCGGTCTGGCCTTCGAGGACGAGAAGTACATTCCAGGGGTTCACGTCCTTCATGATTCATTACCACAGCTGCTTTGAGGGTGTCTGCAAGGGCCGGTGAAATGGAGCATCATCAGGCCAAAAGGGTGTGTGTGTGTGTGTGATGCAGCTGCACATGGCAGGAGCCATGTGAGTGGGGATCATCACAACAGACGATGCTAACCGTTCGGAGCAATCGAAATACCAAACCGACAGACGAGACAGCTCATGACCGTCAACAGACAGACATGAATTCATAGCAAAAGCCGGCATTAACAGGCTAACAAACTAACCGACAAAGTCAAGAGACCTGTGCGCAAAGCCCCTTGGGTTGGATTGTCACTTGCAGGTCTTGAAGATCCGTACGAAATCTCCAAGACTTGCAAAAAGGTTGTGAGCTTAATATAAATCGGTGTGTATATATATATATATGCCCGTATATATATACACATATGTACACGTGCGTATGTGTATTACTCTGTAGATGTATATGAATGTATATATATATACACACACACACATATATATATGTACATATACGCATTATCCGACCCTGTGAGCTCGGACGCCCTGTGCGAGAATTCAAGACAACGGGCTCTGCGATACAGACTTGCACTGCATGTGAGCGTTACAGCAAAAAGACGACACGACCGCCGTGCAGGTGAAGCGCAGCTCAGGCTAAGTTGCTAAGGCTGAGGAGTAACAAGATGTCCTGTCAGAAGCCGAAAACCTTCAAACTTCCTCAATAAGGCCAAATTCACAGCGGCTCCACCAATGGCTCAACCGTCAGCCAGCCAAACTACTTCAGCAGGGTCGTTTGACATTTGGTTCTTGGCTTCCTGAAACTGGTCTGTGCAGACGAGTGAAACCTCGAAGCAAGGCTTCAATCCAAGGGGACTCGAGGAAACCTCTCTCTCTCGCTGTGCGTATACATTTTCATATACATATACGCATAAAACCATTGTTGCATTCGTATCCATGTTTACTTTGTTGGTTCATATTTGATACCGAGGGGTCCAAAAACAGGAAGGTCCCGACTCCGACTCCGGGGTCATCGAATAAGGATCCGAGTAGCTATAGATGATAAACAAATCGCTCAGGTTCGGCTTTGAGAAAGTTCCCTACACCCTAAACCCTAATCACGAAATCCTGAAGCCCCTGCAACCCAGGAACCTAACCCTGGTCCCGGTGAAGGACACGCAGGCGATGGCAGTGGCTCACAGCTCGGCAAAGCTGCAAGGACCATGCTCGCCTTCCCAAGTTTTTGGGGTTTTGGAGCTTCGGGTTTGGGGGTTCGGCGGCTTAAATGTTTAGAGTTTGAGGGTTGTTGGGCTTAGGGCCGCGCCTGCTAGAGTCCACGGTCGGGGCCAGTTTTTGGACAGATTTATCTTTATAGGCGGAACTGCCCGCATGCAACACGCATTTTAACTTGAGCTCCAGTACATCAGTAGGTGCACGACTAACTACATCTTCTACAAACGACACGCCAGGCGAATCTTAGCGTGACGGAAGAGCCAGGCTTCGTGGGTGGACAGGAAACTTCAATGACAGGGTCGCCAGGGGCAGTTTTGCGCATGCTACCAAGCACTTACGAATTACATCCGACCATCGCAGACGTAAGACGACAAGACTCCACAGCCCCAGAAACCCGAAGCTGTCAGCCCTGGCTTCCTTTAGCTCCCAGCCTTTCCATGCTGGAGGCCTTGCCACGAGACCAAGCGCCCGTGAGCGCATCCCAAAGGTCTACATCACAGGCCTCTCGCAGGGTTCTTTGTGGTTGAGGCTGCTTGGGGCTTCAGAAGCTACACACTGGGTGCAAACCAACCCGTAACCCACAAGTGCTTGATAGTGCTTGCAACTCGGTGGTCCGGCAACCTCATTCACTCTGGCATTTGTGTGCCGGGAGCCCACTTGCGCTACATCCACCATGCTGGCAGAACTAAGGGCCGTGCCGGTGCAAACACTGTAGCACACAAGCCTCGAAGATCAAGACGTAGTCCGTTGCAGTCTCGCAAGCAAAGGCATACCGCACGATGTCGGAGCACTGCGGGCGTGGTGGCACTTGCGGTATTCAGCCACTACGGCGGTGATCTGATCTACGTGAACCTTACTTCCAGAAGGTGGGAATAGGCAGTCCGCAGCACTGCAGCTGTGAAAGATAACTGAGGGTATTCGAAGTCTAGACATCTTATGGTCTGTGGCTCACGGCGTTTTAGGGTTTGGGATGGTTTGGGGTTTTGAGGTTCAAGTCCGGATAACAACGCTGGTGAGAACAACATGTCCTAACAGCCGCGAAGCGGGAAAGCCGAGCAGTGCAAAACTGCAACCACAGCTGGCGGGCTCTGGTTTAGGCTTTAGGGCTGAATTTAGGATGGTTTATTTGTTGCCTTTAAACCCGTTCAGTCGAAAGCAGCTTTATGGCTTTAGCACACCAATTCACACACACAAAGAAATGGACACACTATCCACATAACTCCCGGTCCCAACTTTCACAGCCTCGGCGGAGCAAAGCCTTAGGAGGCGGACTTCCAGGTCCAATGCCTGCGTGATGCTTAGGGTTTAGTTATGGCAACGAATATGCTGCATGGAGGGTCAGCTCGAGCATGATACTTGTTGCATTCGAACGGGCCTGGGTCCAATGCCTGCCCATGCTTGCTACAAACGTTTGCTCCCTCTTTTTACTGCCTTGTGTGTCTCACCATTCTGTCGGCCGCAATAGCAAGCGGAACATGACAGCTCTTTCACGGCCTGCGGCGGCGGGTGATTTTGTGTCGGCCGGGCTGGCGTAGTGATCGGCAGTGACCCAGATGTCTCTACTGGATGCGCTTGCTTGTCGTCAGCACAACTAAGTTTGATCAGAAGGATGCTGCTGCAATGACCTCGAAGGTACGAAGGTGCTGGAAAACCTGATCTGTGCAATGACTGGATGCATCCCTCATCAGCCTTAGATGCAAGTGCAGAGGCTGACCCTTCCTAAATAGTCTTAGCAATTCGCTTGAGTTTGCCTGGAGCGTCACAGCAGATGGAGACAATTCATCATGAAAACTCCAATCGTCTGTTTGTGCCCTATCACTTCACATCGTCCATGCTCAAACCTCCCCATTATGCATTTGGTTACGTAATTGAACGTGCCACCTGCCTCCATGCAAGTATGGTGGAATGGCGGGCTTGTTGTGTTATCATAGAGTTAGGGAAGGGAAACCCCAAGTGGGCTACTCTTGATGTGACCTGTTGCTGAGAGTGGCGAAAGCAGGATCTTTCGCAACTAGAGTTGGGGCCCTTGTGAAGGGTTCAGGCTCGGCACCTTGGTCTGGTGTCACCAATGCTACACAACCGCAGACTGGGTGCCTCCTTCGGTGAAGTGCACTTCAGCCGCTTTGCTGCATAGCCTTGGGCAAAGAGGTGTCGTGTGTCTTCGCAGATTCAGCTGAGGCTTCAGACGATCTACCTCGCATGCTCTGGCTTATTCTGAAGTCGCCTGTCTGGCAGAACCTGACAAGACTGTGACAGGCTTGAGGTTGGAATTTACGAGGTCCACGGCCGGCCGCTGAGGCTTCTGTGGAACTAGCTGTCTGTACTTTCTCTCTCTCTCTCTCTACCTACGTCTGTGCGTATATACATATATATATATATGTATGTATGTATGTATGTATGTGTGTATATATATATATACATACACGTGATGCACACCAGCCCTGAACCCTAGATTCGATGTGAGGACTTGTGCCACAAGTCTGGCCCTGGCTCACATGAGGAGATATCTTTGGCATGAGTGTATATACGTGTATATATACACACATATACATATACGTGTGTGTGTGTGTGCGTGTATGTCTGTATGTATGTGCATATACACAGTGTGCATATGTATGTATGTATGTA